TTATTAGCCAGTTTTCTGTTATGTGTTTATTATTCTGATTTACGAACTATAATTGGCTGGATAGATACTGTAGCTTTTGGTATTAAATTGCTTTGGGTAGGAATCTGGCATGATGAACTGCTCTAGGTTTTCTTAGTGCTACTGAAGACAAAGTAAGGTAACTCACAACAAGTATATATATATATATATATATATATATATATATATATATATATATATATATATATATATATATATATGTGTATATATATATATATATATATATATATATATATATATATATATATATATGTATTTTTTAATTATCTTCGCTTCCAACAAGGCTGCAAGCAACCACTAATTAGTGTTGGAAGTTACTGGAAGAGAAAAGATGAAGATTGTAGAGCAAGATAACGATTGACAGATGATTTAAAAGATTGCAAATTATATGAATCAGGAAAGCAAGATGAAGGAAGGGAATTCCAAAGAACTGATGTTTGAGGAAAAAAACTAGACGAATAAGAGTTTTTGGAGCACTTAGAAACAGTAACAGAAAAAGGATGAGACTTAATTGAATGACGAGTAACACAAAAATGAATTTTAGTAGATGGCACAAGAGTTGCTAGCTCTTTCGAGCAGTGCCCATTATAGTATTTGCAGAAAAGAGAAAGAGAAGCAACATTACGACGAAGTGACAGAGGTTGAAGGTTGGCTGCAAGAGCACGTCCAACTATGTTTACAATGCGTTTTTGCACCTTGTCTAAAAGAGAAAGGGCATCATTAGAAGATCCGTCCCAGATATGGCACCAGTATTCAATACAAGGCCAGATTTGAGATTTATAGAGATAGAGAATAGAATCCAGAGTAAGAAAGTGACGAGCTCGATAAAGAGATGCAACTTTAGCAGATGCTAATTTTGCAACGGATTTGATACAAGGTTTCCAAGAAAGATCAGAAGTGAGAGTTAATCTTAGAAGATGAAGGGTAGGAGACTCATCGAGTACATTACCGTTCATAAATATAGGAAGGTCTAAACTATTGCGATAACAATTAGCCAAAAAAAATTTGTTTTATCTGAATTAAAGTTCACCAGCCACCGTGAGCCCCATGCTGTAGCAGAAGTGAGATCCTTTTCAAGCTCAGATGCCCCCTGCAAGCAATCAGAAGGAGTTGGCTTCTTATTGGGACAAGTATATATGGTAGTATCATCAGCGAACAATGCCACCTTAGATGTGAGAATATCTGGAAGATCGTTAATGTAAATTAAAAAGAGTATAGGGTCAAGGATTAAACCTTGAGGAACCCCTGAGGTTACAGAATAAAAAGAAGAGTGCTGTCCATCAAAGACAACTTTTATACTACGATTGGAAAGGAAGGATTCAATAATCTTAAAGATGTTTTCAGATACGCCGTAAGAAGAAAGTTTATGGAGAAGACCAGCATGCCAAACTTTATCAAACGCTTTAGAAATGTCAAGAGCAATGGCCTTACCCTCTCCACCTTTATCTAATGCGTGATAAAACCTATCGGTTATTACTGATAGCAAATCAACCGTAGAACAAGAAGATCAAAATCCATATTGATGATCAGAAAGTAAGTTATGAGATTCGAGATGAGAGATTAAGTGTTTGTTAATTAAAGATTCAAAAACCTTGCTTATAATAGGAAGAAGACTAATAGGACAGTAGTTAGACAAATCGGATCGCTCTCCAGAATTTTTAAAAATAGGGATAACAGATGCTGCTTTTTAGCAGGCTGGAAAACAAGACTCTGATAAGCACTTGTTAAATAGTTTTGAAAGGATAGACAACAGCTCTGGAGAACACTTCTGCAAGACTATAACAGGTATGTTGTCCAGGCAGCAAGCTGTAGAAGAGTCTAAGCGGGAAAGCATTTTAGATACAGAAGCTGGCATGATACGAATGTCGAGCAATGGATCAACCTATTTGATGGCTATATCAGGTAGAACACAACTAGTGGCATCAAGAGATGATATTGAGGAAAAGTTCTTGGCAAACAATTCAACTTTGTCTTTAGGTGAGGTGACAAAGTCTGAACCATACAAAAGAGGTGGAATTACAGACTTGGCCTTATTATTGATACTATTAAAGATTCTCCAGAAGTCACGAGAGCCTAATTTTTGTGATAAAATACGAGATTTCATGATCTGAGAATAGCGGGCTTTGGCATTAGACAAAACCTTTTTACAATGGTTCCTAGCAGTAATAAATAGACGTCTGTTTTGTGGAGAATTGTTTTGCTGATAGATATGGAAGTAATGGTTTCGATTGGCAATTGCAGCAGCACAATGTGAGGAAAACCATGGAGAAGAGTGAGGCTTGACCTGGAATCGTCGAGAGGGATTAAAGGATTCCATGCCATCCTGAATCCACGAAGTTATGTAAAAAGCACATTTGTCAATAGGGAGACGGAAGATTTCTACCCAGGAGCCATCACGAAGAAAATCACGGAAAGAGTCCCAGTCAGCTTTAAGGTAGTTGTAAGATGTACGATGATAGGGGGATTCTGATGGTAAAGAAGAATGAGATAATAGTTTTAGAGAGACCAAACCATGATCAGAAGCACCTAAGGGTGAGTGTGAAGAAACTGAGCACTGACTAGGATCAGAAAAATACATAAGTCGAGTAGAGAAGGTAAATGATTCGGGTTGTCTGGAAAGCAAGTTGGAAAGTTGACTATTTGAGTTAGGGATTGAGAAAGACAAAAGTTGTGGGCCTTAATGCCTGCAGAGTCACTGACACTAGAGCCAAGCCATTCAGTGTGATGAACATTAAAGTCACCAACAACAACAATATTGGTTGATGGATAAAGAATGAGGGCTTGGTCAATATAATCAGAAATAACATCAAGAAGAGTGCAGTCTTGAGATGAGGGAGAGCGATATAGAACAAAGAGAAAGGTGATAGAGTGAAGTGGTGCTAAACGAAAGTACATAAAAGAGTAGCTTGTGGATTCAAACCTAGTTTCCCGACAAATGGGTGAATTCTTACGAATGTAAATGCCCATGCCAAGCATGTGACTATTGGAGTCTTTACGAATTAAAGGAAGATAACCATCAACACTAAGATCACAAGATGAGACAGCTGAACTCAAATTAGACTCACAAAGAGCAAGTAGGTCTGGTCAACTTTGCACGAGATAAGACTCAACAGTAAAAAAGTTACTTCGAAGACCACGAATATTGGTGAATGATAGGTTTAGCAAACTTGATGATGACTGTGGTTTTTTGTGTTTTATAGTTTTTATTACTTTATTCATTTTTAAATTTGTTAAAGAACTTGACTCGAAACATAGATAGTACTCAGTACACTGTCTTATAGCCCAAGCAATTGCCTCATTTCCACTAATAAACCCTAAGCCGTAACAAAGGGCTCCAATGTGGCCTTGGCAATGCTTACCAAAAGTACAAACAGGGACACCATCCATGTGCAACATGGCACTGTTAGTACTCTGATATTTTTCAGCTGTTGATGGAATCAGTCTCTCTGAGAGCTACCACAGAGTTTGGGAAACCTGACTACCAGCGGGCCTCAGAACCATAAAACTGAGTTTTAGAGCTGTACCTTTATTTGGAGATAATAGAATGAGTTGCCTAGTCATAAAAACAGAGACAAAAGCAAAACCCATGAATTGAGTCAAGAAGATCCAGCGTTCAACATCCTAAACTGGAAACAATGTATTAAAAATACATCTGCGCCAGCCTAATTAATGAAGAAGGGGTGCGAGGCTGGTCAACAGATAGGATCTGTTTACCCCTTAAGTCTTTGCCTAGGAGGCCTTCTACAAGACAGCAGCCGGATGCATTTAACATCTGCCCAAGATGAGTATTTTTATCAAGACACCATCTCTAGCCTTTACTCAACCAAGAGCTGCAAGGCAGGGGGTGTTTTATGTCTGAGTTTGTATCTCCTAGCCTTTGCCTAAAAAGGCATATCCTACAAGGCAGAAGGACATGAGCAGATTGTACTGGGTTACATGTTACCAGTAGCAGGATAAACCTGATCTGACCATATATGTATATATCAGGCCTTGTTAAGAATCGTTACGCAGGTTGCATTTTACCTGCGAAAAGGCGATTTGCCTAAGCGTTTAGCAGTTTTGCGTTACGCAAAAACTTTAATCTTTTAGAATATTTAAATTATCATTTGATATCGTTTATGTGACGTTTATTCAGAAGAAAATAAACTTGTAAGTAAAAGCATTTAATCGCAATTGTAAACTAATAGATTTTTTGTTAAAGAAAAATTTGTTTAATTATTTTTATTGTTGTTGTTGTTAAAAATTAGTTAAAAAAAAATAAGTGTTTTAAGTTTAAACTTTTTATTATATTTAATATTAAGTTTTATATTTCATAAGTTTAAAATCAATCAAATTTAAAAAAAGAAATATTTTCAATTTATTTTATTAAATTTAAATATTTTTTTATTAATTATAGTTTTTAGTAAATAAATTTATTAAATTTAATTAAAATTCTTTCATTTAATTTTAAAACAGAGCATTTTAAAATTTTTTAATTTCAAAATGCTCCGTTTTTTTTATGATAAAATTTCTAAAGTAAAAAAAGATTTAATAAATTTAATTCAAGTTACTTTAAAATGTTCGTATTACATATAACTTTATTTTAATTTTAGTTAAGTTTCAGGTAAGTTCCAAATACTGGTCTGAATAATGCGCTTAACAAAAGCGCATTAGTTTCCAGTTTTTATTTTTCCATTATTTTACAGTTTCATTCATTACTTACAGAAGCGCATTATTCATTTTATAACTACAAGTTAATAAATGACGTCAATACTTTTAAACTCGAGTTATAAATGTTATGTTTGGATTTTCCCTTTTTTTGTTTGCCGAAGAATTTTTTTTATAAAACAAATCAAGTATGTATTAATAATACGTCCTTGAACAAACCAAAATATATATATGCAACCTTTAAAAAGTTATATACAAAAGATAATAAAAGAAATATAAATAAAAAAATTATAAAATGTATGAGAATTTTCAACCTGGTTGTATGCAATTTTGTAATACATCATCAATTTCTTTAACAACCCTGAATGAAAATGGAAATTTGCAAAAAAAGTATTGATCCAATAATTTACATGATGCAATGTTAGAGTTAACTGTGGATTTATAAAATAATTCAAGCCACAGCTTTGTATATTCTGGTTCGTTGTATAGAATTTCAAGATTATGATATCTATCTATACTAGAAACAATGGATGTGAAAACTGGCACAATGCGATCTTCCAAATAACAGAACAATGCATGTTTAAATGTTCCATATGATGGTTGATATTTTTGTTCTATTGCTTCATTTTGTATCCAATTTGTAACATAATCAGGATGCCATTTGCTTTCTTCTGCAGCTAAGCCAGTTTCTATCAGCTCTAATACAGTTGTGATAAACATGTATCGAATATCTGAAAAAATTTTGAAACTTATAGTTTATGACATATATTTGATAAACTATTTAATGCTTTAGCTTGCTATAGATAATTTACAAAAACAAGTTAACTTGAAAGGATAACAAAAAAAAAAATTTTCGACTGAAAGTCATTATCAAGATAATGATTAATAATTTATCAAAGTATAACATGATATAATGATATAATAAGTAAAATTATATCATTATATACATTTTTTACTTTTATAAACATTTGGAAAATATCTTTAACCTTGTAAAATATTAATCTTAAGTAGTTCTAAGTTTATGTTAACTAGAAAAATTTGAGTTTTATTAGTCTAAACAAAGACTAAAGCAAGAGCGTAAACTGCAGATTTTTTGATTGGTAAAAAGGTTAACTAGTTATTTGCTATTTTTTTGTTTGTTAAAACTTTGTTTTTTTTGTACAAATTTTGTTAAATTTTCCTAATTAGACAACAAAAAACAATTTTCATTATATTTTTTATTTTACCTCTAGCATAACCACAGATTATCTTATTACTATTAATAAGTTTTAAATAACATAATTATTTTGATTAATAATCTCAACAAAACTCAATATTTTTCAGCTAATGGTTATCACAATAGCCTAGATCTTCCTACACTTATGAACAGTAATGTACTCTATGAATTATCTACCTATCATCTTCTAGGATTAACTCTTACTTCCAATATGTTTCGGAAATCATTTACCAAATCGATTGAAAAATTAGCATCTGCTAAGGTTGCATCTCTTTATCGTACTTGCCACTTTCTTACTCTGGATTCTATTCTTTATTTCTATAAATCTCAAATCCATCCTTGTATGGAATATAGTTGTCATATCTGGAGCTGATCTTCGAATGACACCTTTTCACTTTTAGACAAGGTGCAAAAATGCATTGCAAACATAGTTAGACCTGCTTCTCCATCCAACCTCCAACCATTGTCACATAGTAGTAATATTACTTCTCTATCTCTTTTTTATACATACTATAATGAGCGTTGCTCTAAAGAGCTAGCGTCTTTTGTGCCATCTACTAAAATTCATTCTCATGTTTTTCGTCATTCAATCAAGTCTCATCCTTTTACTGTGACTGTTCGAAAGTGCTCCAAAAATTCTTTTAAGTCTAGTTTTTTTCCACAAATCAGTTCTTTGGAATTTTCTCCCTTCACTTTGTTTACCTGATTCATACAATTCGAATTCTTTTTAGTTGTCTGTTAATTGTTATCTTGATTTACAAATTTCATCTCTTCTTTTCAGGTAACTTCCAACTCTAATAATAGTTGTTTGCAGTTTTTTTGGGTTTAGAAAAGTTTTGTTGATGTTTAGAAAACATAAAAATAATAATAATCTGCTTAATTGATGCAACAATATTTTAATTAATGCTTAAACTATATTTTAAACACAACAAATACAACAACAGTATTAATAAAGTTAACTGTTAGTATGTTTTATGATAAACTTGGTGTAATTTATAATAAATATAAGGATTTAAAAAATGATATCAAACTCTTATTATATTTTTTGTTTCAAGATAAAGTTTTTAAAAAATACTACATTATGCTAATGAAATGTTATTTATTACATGATTATATTTTCTAATGAAATGTTATTTATTACATGATTATATTTTCTCTCTGCAATATAATGCTATCATAATTATATAGATTTTACTTGCAATTACAGAAATAAAATTAAAACAAACAACCATTTGAAATTATGCTTAAATAAACTTATTACTATAACATTAACTCAATACTTTTAAACATTGTTTTATTTCATTGATAAAATAAAAACCTCTAGTTAGTTATCAATTCTGAAATAGTTATTACACTTTGTGGGTATTTACAAATAATACATGTACTAACCTTAAGCAATAAACCATGTTGAAGTTAATAACAATGACATTATAAATATAATACTAATCAATAACAGCCAAAATAAAATTAATAATAAGAGTGGAAGTAGTGATAATAAAAATAATAACAAAAATAACAATAATAGTAATATATGTTATTATATATAAATATAATAATATACAATAATAATACATATACACAATACAACATTTATACATATATATATATATATATATATATATATATATATATATATATATATATATATATATATATATATATATATATATAATGTAATATAATATTAGTAATAATAACAATAGCAATCTATTATTAACATATAAAATATACTAGTAATAATAGTTATTATTATAATAGTATTAATAACAACAATCATAACAAAAAAAAAAAAGTTATCTTATTATGATTAAAAAATTCATATAAAAGTATACACACACAGGCATGCATGTACGCACACAATACACACACCCATAAACATATATACACAAACCTACATACACACATGTGTATAAACACACATACAAGCGCACACACTTATATATATACACAAATTTTTGGATATATTAAAAGTATTTAATTAGAAAAGAGTGGAATAAGTTGCTTTTAAAAATAAAGTATGACTGGAGAGCTTTTAGGTCATCTTTATTCCAAGATTTTATACTTTGATATTTTATAGACCTACACCTATAAGTAGCAAAACGATGTTTTAAGACTGGTAGGTTCAGATTGTTGATGGATTGAAGAAAGTAACAGTTATTTTCACTTTCAGAGAAGAAGTTGTTAAAGGTAAAAGGTAGGTTTTTGTGTTAGTGATTCCAGACAAACTGGCAATTTAGGAGTTGAACAAGATCACAATGTTTTAGAAACTTAGAAGTAAGATAGAGAGCAGGATTGAATTTGTAATTTTGAAAATACATTATCTTTAACGCCTTGTTTTGAAGATGAGATACCCTTGTAACAGCTTGCTGTAGGGATTGTCACCATATATGACAAACATATGGTATATGAGAGCCAGACAGTATGGTATATGTTTAAGAGTGTTTCCAGATAAACATAATGGCGAACTTTAGCCAGCATTTCATTTGATCTGCTTAATTTCGTGGCAAAGTCTTTAAGGTGAGATGCAAACAAAAGGTTGGAGCCAATATTAGTTACTTGATATTTTATTGAATTTACAGGATTCAATTTTTGCCCAATTAATCTAAAATTTAAGTTTTAAATGATTTTTGATTTATTAGATTTAAATATAACCAGTTAGTTTTGCTACAGTTGAGAGAAAGCTTAATTGAGCAAAGCTACTGAACTAGATTGGGAAGATTATGGTTAACGCGTTTGTTATTTTTTTTTAAAGATTTGTTGATAATGAGCAAGTTAGTATCATTAGTAAAATAATAAGCAGTTGCAAACTTAATGGAGTTATTAGGGTCATTAATGTATAGAAGAAAAACCAGAGGTCCTAATACTAAGCCTTAAGGAACACCATTAGAACATTTTATTTGAACAGATTTTGAGTCATTAATGGAAATAAACTGCAGTCTGTGAAGATAGGAAGTGAACTATTTGAGAGGAACTTCTCTGATTCTGTAATATTCTAATTTTTTTAGTAGGATAGAGTGATTTATTGTATCGAAAGCTTTTTGTAGATCGACAAACACCACATATAAAGTTTTTATCGTCAAGAGCTTTTCAAACTGATTCAGTGATTTCGATAAGTGAGTAGGATGGAGTTGTTAGCACAAAACCCATACTGACAAATACCATACTATAATTAGCTAATTCTTATTTACTACATTATTTAATACATTTAAAAGATATAGTTCTTACCACAAAAGACAATAAGAGAGTGGCTCAAGTTTGGCAGTTAAAGTCATTTACAGGGTTAAAGGGTTGTTATTCGTCAATATAAGAATGTCAAAAATATTGCAATAGTTGTTTGCAGTAAATTACTGAGTTTTGTTGGAGTTAAGCTCTACCATATTACCTACCCTACCTACTTATCATCAGGTTTTCAAAACATGCAAATTATCAATACATGCAAAATACTGGGGCTGAGTTGTCAAAAAAAAATAAAGTTCAATTTTTATTAGTTTTGCAGTTTTATCATGCATATTTTTTAGAAGTTTTTCACTAATTTATTTATTTATTTTCCACATTTATTTAAATTTTTTATTTTTTTTATTTTAATTCACCTCCTCAAGGCCAAAAAGGCCACTACAGACGAGGAGGCTACTTATTTGTGGTTATAACCTTCTCTCAACTCTATAACTCCGAAACACGAACCTTGATGAACAAGGCCGCTGCGCGGAGAAACGAGTTGAGCGCGGTACTACCAGGGACGTGGTGGGAATCGTACTCGGAACTACTCGTTTATGAAGCAAGCGCTTTTTCAACCCTAATTAAGATTAATTATAAAGTTTTTTTTTAAAAAAATTAAAATTTTAAAATTCATTATTTTAACTATTACTTATATTTAATGAAAAATAAGTTAAGAATAAAATTTAAATCATAGGTTTCTAACTATAATTTTAAATTTATAAAGTGATCTTAAATTTATAAATTCAATTTTAAAGACAATTTTATTTTATAAAACATAATTTTGATAAAACATGAACAATAAATAAATAAAGTTTAATAAATACAAAAGATAAGTAAAGTAAACACTTCTGCAGTAATGAGAGCTTAGTTAAGAAAAAAATCTACTTACCATCAGGTTTACTTGTTAAAAGATTTGTTAAAATATCAATTCGCTGTGATATTTCTTCAACAGTCATTTGCTTCATTTCACTTAAACGTCGAATAGTCATTTGTACACATCCTAATATTAGTTGAATCATTTTTGGTTTTAGATCATCAAGGCTAATTATTTCTTTCAAAGATTTTCCGTAATATTTTATAAGATAAGGCAAGTTTGAACTACGTAACTCATCAATATGGCAGCATTCCCAGAATGACACTGAACTCAATAAGTCTAACCGCTTAGCTTTATAGTTCAACTGCAAGATAAATAAAATAGATATGTTCTTTAATTTGAACTGTTCTTGTAGTTCTTTACAAATGTATTGCGCACATGCAATTAAATTGCTCCTTTCCTGAGAATTATTTGCTTGAATAATAAGAAGCTGTTTCTTATTACTTTCAGAATTACACACAACTCTAAAAATATAATCAAATATTTTTTGGCACTCTGTATAACAATATAAACAAGTAATTTAAAATTATTTTTTCTACAACATAGAAACATGCGTCAATATTTTGACATTACGTGACAATATTTTGATTTTAATAATTTAAAAATAATTATAATAGGTAGTAAATATTAAACAATTTTTGATTGAGAAAATTTTTTTAGTGCAATGCTTATGTTTTTTATTTCAACAAAAAAACTAAAAATGTCAACAATAAAAGTAACTAAGTATCTAAACAATTGCATTTAGTGAAAATTTGCCTTAAATTTTAATAAATATTTATTATACCAATTCAATATTATATTTAATAGTTTATACTAGAGTAAATAATTTAATTTAATATAAATAATCATTTACCAATTATCTAACATCAAAATTTTATGCTTAATAGATTTCCAATTTTTATTTTCCCAACAAAAATCATAGCTTATGTTATTAAAAAAAAGAACAAAAACAAAAAATTTATAATTGAATTGAAAAAACCAAACAACCTGTTAGTGGTGTGCCACACTAACAAACTAGTGCATGATCAACATACTTGGCGGTGTTGTACACCATCAAACATGTACACCATGCATTCTACTACCTCATCTTGAAGTAGTAGCTCAACCTAAAATCAAGAGCCTAAAATGATTCACTTTTCTAAACAAAAAGTAGAAGTTAACTTTAAACTAAAGCACCTTCTGCCTTAGGGTTCTTGAGGGAGTCAAGGCTAGAGATGCTGTCTCAATAAAAATACTTATCTTAGATAACTGCATATAGACTGTCTTGCGTTTTGTGCACTAAAACCTTAGTAATAAATTTGGCACTCCTTTTTTATTTAATAGACTAGCATAGATGTAAACCTACATTACAGTGGATGAGAGTTAGATCTTCTTGACTTTACTCATTTTTTCTACAAGTTTTAGCTTGTGCTTCCTTGGTTGTGTCTATGCAACTCTTTCTGTTATATTCTAATAAAGATACAGTTTTTTTTACACTGCAGTTATTTTTAACCAAAATCATCTTTTTCATCATTTTTACAAAAACACTTTTGAGAACAAACATCTTTTTATCATTACAAAAAACTATTTTGCATTTAATCTATCTATCATCCTAGTGAAACATTATAATCCATTGATAGTCATCACAACCACTTCTTTGTTAACGATATTTTCCACTTTAACTCTTCTGCAGACACTTCAATAACATTCCTATCACAGTTTTACAAAACTTTTTTCCAGAACTTTTTATTAACTCTTAAACTTTTTATTCAACTCTCTAAACTATTTAACAAGCACTTAACTGAACCTTGTTTTCTTGCTTCTAGAAAATGGTATTAATTTTATATCAACCAATATAGCTTCAATTTCAAAATACTCTGCAGACCACTTTGTAACTATTTAGTAGTTACAATTGGTAAGCATAACTTTGTAATGTTACATTTACACATCGCTACTACACATTGTCAAATAAGCTTTCTTACTATTACTAGCAAGGCCTTGTGAGTTTTTAATTAACATATTTCTATTATCTCATCTTGAATTTACCAGCTTTGTCAAAATGAATTTAATTTCACTTGTTCTACAGCAGACTTGTTAATTGTTAAAACAGAATGGTTTTATTTTACACTCAATAGAAGTAGAGAAGCAAAGTCAATTGCTCTTTAAAAATCAATAGCCTTTAAGTTTGGCATGCTGGTCTTTTTCACAAGCTCTTTTAATATAGTTTATAAGGGAAAGTTTTAAAGCGTATTGAATCATTCTCTTCCAATTTCAATAATAATGTCATCCTTGATAGACAACACTCTTGTTTATATCCAGTAACTTATGGATTTCACAAGATTTCATCTTGGTCTTGTGTTGTTTATAATCAATCTTAATCATCTTCCTGATAACCTTACTTCAAAAGTGAATCTTTTTATAAATGACAAACTATATACTCAAGTCATAAAAAAACCCATTACTTTTTGATTATTGACTATTTTTTGATTGTTTAGGTACAACTGATATAATCTCTCTTCTTTGAGAGCTTTAGAATTGGATGGACACAATTAACCCAAACTATACTCAGTTATTTACTCCTAGTAAATAACTGAGTATAGTTTGGGTTAATTGTGTAAAATAACAGATTAACTGAGTATAGTTTGGGTTAATTGTGTCAAATAACAGATGGGGGCAAAAATACATTACTTACTACCTCTAAATAATATTTATAGGTAATCAACCTAATCGCGGGGTAAAGCACAAGTGGCGATGACGATGATCTCCTAGTACCTCTTACTCTTATAATCATATATGGCAATATAATAAATCTTTAATAATAAATCTTCTATTTTACACATTAGCGGATTATCCGTCATTAATGACCATTTGTAGAAACCATTACAAAATTAGCATTTGCTAGTTAGGTTTCTTTTTATTATTGCAATTTATTCACTGTTTTTTTCTTCAAAAAAAACCAGTTGATTTAATTCTCTAGCTCAATAAATTTCTTATTCCTTCTTGTATGCAATAGCGTTTTCATATTTGGCCTGATTCTTTTAATAATGAAATTTCTCTTTTAAATAAGGTTCACAAAATAATTATAAACGTACACTGCAAAAATTTGTTTTGGTAATTTAACCAAATATGTTTGGTTAGTAAATTTTGAAAATACTACAAACTTGTTTGGTAAAATATACCAAATCTTTTGTGAACTTTACCAAATCGTTTTTGTTTTTTTTTAACCAAATTATTTGGTTTGATGTGTTTTTTTTCGCGCAAAGTATAACAAATTTATTTGGTTAAATTTACAAAATTGTATTTGTTATTTTCATTAAATGTGCTAACGGGATTGCAAATTATAGGGGAAAAAAAATGAGATTTTGTCGCCATTTTAATTCTTCATTAATTGTCAGGCATCGTAGTTTCAACAGAAAAGAAAAACTTATTAATGTCACTATAATTATGATTATCTACGCTTATTGCAAATATACTGCAAGCTCTAGCAACACTTATAAAATTTTCACAACAAACATTGTTATGGCAAAAGATTAGTTTACAGTCAGGGTGGTGGTTGTCCAATGGAATATAATTCTTTTCAAAGTCTTACAAAACATATCAAAAAATCTCATCAAGAAGTTCTTCAAAGATCTACTTTAAAAGAAGCAGGTATTACACAACAATATTTCTCTTCAAATAACTTGTCTTTAGCTGTTCACAATACCAAACCTGTTTGCACTGATAATATTTCAAATTTCGGTATTAGATTTGTTGTAATCGATGGAAGATTCTGGTAATCTTATTTTTAAACTAAGAAGTTATTCTAATCTGCAGCACTACATTAAAAATTATGGATGCATGTTCAGACTTTGTGCCTTCAATTGTAACAGGAATTAGTAACAAGACCCAAGTAATGTTTGAAAAGCATGGTCTTCAAAATGATGAATTTAATAATTTCTTTGAAAATCTCAATTCTCAAAAAAACTTTTCAAGGTTTAGAAAGTTTGCATAAACAAACAAGTTATTTTGAAAAAAAAGAGTATTATATAAAACCAAAATCATACTCAATAGGTCATTCTATAAGCACTCAAAGAACAACTAAAGGAATAGTTTGCTCAACTTGTATCGCAACAGGGCAATATGTTTCATTAAAACAATGTTTTGAAGTTTTTTTTTGTCTTCCTGGTGTACTTGATGAAATAAGAAGTAATACAAAACCATCTACTAATGGTTTAGTTTCAGACTTTAAAGATGGAAAATTGTGACAAAATCATCAGTTACGTAGTCAACATGTTCATTCCCAAAATAATTTCGTAATTCCAGTTTTTTGTTTTTTTGATGATTTAGAAACTGCTAATCCATTAGGTTCACATAGCACTGTTCACAAAATTGGAGCTTTGTGTACAATTCTAAAATGTTTAAAACCACTACATGATTCAAAACTTGAGAATATTTTGTTAAGTGCAATTATATTTATTTCTGATTGCATTAAATATTCAAATAAAGATGCATTTTCTATATACATTCAAGAAATGACAGAATTAGAAACAAAAGAATTTACTATAAAAATAGATGATGATGAATTTAAAATATATGTTGTCCTTGCTCAAATTATTGTTGATAATCTAGGTTTAAATGGAGAATTAGGTTATGTGGAAAGTTTTACTGCGACATACCTGAGCAGAATATACAAAATGAAACAAATTTTTTGACAGTATTTTTGTTAAATCAGTTGAATTACTTAGAACTAAAGAATGTTACAATTATGATGTTTCTTTACATAATTGTTCCCTAAATGGTATAAATGAAAAGTGTTGCTTTAATAAAATTCCATCATTTCATGTCAATGAAATGATGGAATTTTAATAATATCATAATATTTATTATGATATTATTATATTATTAAAATTTATAAATCATAATAATATCATAATAAATACTATGATATTATGATTTAATACATAATATCATAATATTTATTATGATATTATGCACGATTTGTTAGAAGGCATTTGCAAATATGTTTTTCAAAAAATATCAATCTAGTATTTCAGAAAAAATTCTGCAATCTAGGAGACATAAATAGCAGAATGAGAAATTTTTCATATGATCACTGATCAAATCCTTCATGTCCCACTGAGTATCAAATAAAAAATGTTTCATTAAATATTGGTGCAATTGAAATGCTAAATTTGCTTTTAATTGCTAAATTTGCTTTCATTTATTAGGAGGAGATTTAGTTCCTTTTGATGACAATTTTTGGGTTACTTTTTTTATTGTTAAGACAAATTGTCCTTTACTCATTTGGTATGGATTTTAGCAAACCTGATCTATTATATTTTGGTTCTATTATCACTGAATTTTTACAAGAATACTGTTTTGTGTTTAAGTGTGTTTAACTTTGAAGTTTCATAACCTTATTCATTATCCATGTATTATTAAAATATTCTGTCCGCTATGCCATATGTGGGTAATGCGTTGTGAAGGTAAATTAAGAGAACTGCTT